AATCTTCTGGAAAAAATTATCAACAAAAGACTGATCTGGAGCTTGGAGCAACAAAATATACTCATTCAGGAACAAGCAGGGTTTAGACCGAACAGATCGACAATGGACAACATAGTCGACTTATCTAACTGTATCCATGAAGCATTTGAAAACCAACAGCAATAAACTTTGACATCAATAAAGCATTTGATACCGCTTGGAGATATAAAATACTTAAAAAACTCAAAGAATATGGTTATAATGGACACATATTAGCATTTCTCACCAACTTTCTCAAAAACAGAAACTTCCAAGTTCGCGTGAATGGGTCATTATCCAAACCCAAAACACAAGAGAACGGTGTACCACAAGGATCAATAATCAGTCCAACTCTCTTTCTCATAGCAATAAATGACATCTTGAGAAATATGGAGAAACCCATCCAAGCTCGCCTCCATGCGGACTACATGATATTATATGTGAGAGGCAGAAATATTCAAACCAGTGCCACACTCTTGAAAACCCAGCTATCCAAATTTGAACAATGGTCAAATAATACAGGCTTCACCTTTTCGCCCAGCAAGACTAAATGCATCATATTCAGCAGAAAGAACACAGATATCATCAACCCAATATTACAACTACATGGCACAACATTGGAGTACGTAGATGAGATCAAATTCCTGGGAATAACATTTGACAAGAATCTGACATGGAAGAATCACATCACCCAACTTATCCAGACATGCCAGAGAGGAATAAACTTACTGAGATATCTTGCAAACAAACACTGGGGCGCAGAGGGGAAAACACTTTTATCCATCTACAGACTGTTGATAAGATCTAAAATAGATTATGGCTGCATAGCTTACGCATCTGCCAAGAAATCAATATTAAAACATCTGGATGTTTTGCATAACACAGCGCTGCGTATCGTACTAGGTGCCTATAGAACTACTCCAGTGGACAGCCTATATACGTATTTTGAGGCAGGCGAAGCCCCACTGCAACTGGGGCGTGATATTCTAAGTACATCCTACGTAATCAAAGCTTCATCAAACCTAGGCGCTCCTGCTTACAAATATATGCGTATACAAATGCAGCTAGACAGAAACAGAAGGCACACAACAATAAACAGGAGACTTCAAGCACATTTAAGAAGCCTGAATATACGCCAACTACCACAATCATACTTGACCAACATATCAAACACTCCGCCATGGACCATTCAGTTTCCAATGGTAAATACCTGGCTAACGAAACTAGACAAAAACAAAGTACCAAATGAAGTAATTAAACAACATTTCCACGAGATTCTCGGAAAATATCCTGACCACAATCAAATATACACAGATGCCTCAAAACAAGGATCAAACTGTGGAGCAGCCATTGTCACACCAACCAGTAACAATACCCTGAAGGTTCCAGGTGCTGCTACAATTTTAACAGGAGAACTGCATGCAATCCTAGGAGCCCTGAAACACATCAAAAGTAATCCTGCCCAGAAATGGATGTAGTAACAGATTCGCTCAGCTCACTATCTGCTATCAGCAAATTATATACCAAAAACCCTTTAGCCATAATAATACAAGAAACTATATCCAATCTTATCAGCAATAATCAACGTATAATATTTATATGGGCTCCATCACACATAGGCATAGCAGGAAACGAGACAGCAGATACAAGTGCAAAGGCAACAGCAATGAGTAACCGTACAAGTAATCTACAAATACCAGCATCAGACTTAAAACAATATATAAAACATGACATGACAGACCAATGGAATAGTGTGTGGGAAACAAAGCCTTCTAAGCTGCGTGAGCTGAAATCAAAATTCGGAGAATGGCAGACAGTCACAGAAGACAGAAGCATACAAACAGCCGTAACACGACTTCGCTTAGGCCACACCAGGATAACCCATAGTTGCCTCATCACCCAGCAACCTGAACCAGTGTGTGCTTTGTGTGAAACCAGGTTAACAGTGAAACATATACTAGTGGAGTGCCAAGTCTACGAGCATCAAAGACAACAATCTAATTTAAGTGGGAAAAATCTAAAACATATCCTTGGAACAAACTGTAACATCCAAAATCTAATCGATTTCTTACATAACTGTAACATGCTTCATCAACTGTAATATGAGACCAATACCGCTGCTAATAGCCAGACGGCTGATGCAGCTTAATATAAAAAAAAATGAAAATAGAAAAATGAAAAATGAAAAATGAAAAATGAAAAATGAAAAATGAAAAATGAAAAATGAAAAATGAAAAATGAAAAATGAAAAATGAAAAATGAAAAATGAAAAATGAAAAATGAAAAATGAAAAATGAAAAATGAAAAATGAAAAATGAAAAATGAAAAATGAAAAATGAAAAATGAAAAATGAAAAATGAAAAATGAAAAATGAAAAATGAAAAATGAAAAATGAAAAATGAAAATGAAAAATGAAAAATGAAAAATGAAAAATGAAAAATGAAAATGAAAAATGAAAAATGAAAAATGAAAAATGAAAAATGAAAAATGAAAAATGAAAAATGAAAAATGAAAAATGAAAAATGAAAAATGAAAAATGAAAAATGAAAAACGAAAAACGAAAAACGAAAACGAAAAACGAAAAACGAAAAACGAAAAACGAAAAACGAAAAACGAAAAACGAAAAACGAAAAACGAAAAACGAAAAACGAAAAACGAAAAACGAAAAACGAAAAACGAAAAACGAAAAACGAAAAACGAAAAACGAAAAACGAAAAACGAAAAACGAAAAACGAAAAAACGAAAAACGAAAAACGAAAACGAAAACGAAAAACGAAAAACGAAAAACGAAAAACGAAAACGAAAAACGAAAAACGAAAAACGAAAAACGAAAAACGAAAAACGAAAAACGAAAACGAAAAACGAAAAACGAAAAACGAAAACGAAAAACGAAAAACGAAAAACGAAAAACGAAAAACGAAAAACGAAAAACGAAAAACGAAAAACGAAAAACGAAAAACGAAAAACGAAAAACGAAAAACGAAAAACGAAAAACGAAAAACGAAAAACGAAAAACGAAAAACGAAAACGAAAAACGAAAAACGAAAACGAAAAACGAAAAACGAAAAACGAAAAACGAAAAACGAAAAACGAAAAACGAAAAACGAAAAACGAAAAACGAAAAACGAAAAACGAAAAACGAAAAACGAAAAACGAAAACGAAAAACGAAAACGAAAAACGAAAAACGAAAAACGAAAAACGAAAAACGAAAAACGAAAACGAAAAACGAGAAACGAGAAACGAAAAACGAAAAATGAAAAATGAAAAACGGAAAACGAAAAATGTAAAATGAAAAATGAAAAATGAAAAATGAAAAATGAAAAACGAAAAACGAAAAACGAAAAACGAAAAACGAAAAACGAAAAACGAAAAACGAAAAATGAGCAATTTATAAAAGATAACAGATACCAGATACCAGATACCAGACACCAGATACCAGATTCCAGATATCAGATTCCAGATTCCAGATACCAGATACCAGATACCAGATACCAGATACCAGACACCAGATACCAGACACCAGATACCAGACACCAGACACCAGACACCAGATACCAGATACCAGAAAAACGAAAAACGAAAAACGAAAAATGAAAAATGAAAAATTTATAAAAGATAACAGATACCAGATACCAGATACCACATACCAGACACCAGATACCAGATTCCAGATATCAGATTCCAGATTCCAGATTCCAGATACCAGATACCAGATACCAGATACCAGACACCAGATACCAGACACCAGACACCAGACACCAGATACCAGATACCAGACCAGATTCCAGATACCCGATACCAGACACCAGACACCAGATACCAGATACCAGATACCAGATACCAGATACCAGATTCCAGATTCCAGATTCCAGATACTAGATACCAGATACCAGATACCAGATACCAGATATCAGATATCAGATATCAGATATCAGATACCAGATACCAGATACCAGATACCAGATACCAGATACCAGATACCAGATACCAGATACCAGATACCAGATACCATATTCCAGATTCAATTATCAGATTCCAGATACCAGATACCAGATTCCAGATTCCAGATACCAGATACCAGATACCAGGCACCAGACACCAGACGCCAGATTCCAGATACCAGCTACCAGATACCAGATACCAGATACCCGATACCAGATTCCAGATATCAGATTCCAGATACCAGATTCCAGATACCAGATACCAGATACCAGATACCAGACACCAGATTCCAGATTCCAGATTCCAGATACCAGATACCAGATACCAGATTCCAGATTCCAGATATCAGATTCCAGATTCCAGATACCAGATACCAGATACCAGATACCAGATTCCAGATACCAGATACCAGATACCAGATACCAGATACCAGACACCAGACACCAGACACCAGATTCTAGATAGCAGATACCAGATACCAGATACCCGATACCAGATACCAGATACCAGATACCAGATACCAGACACCAGATACCAGATACCAGATACCAGATACCAGATACCAGATACCAGATACCAGATTCCAGATTCCAGATTCCAGATTCCAGATTCCAGATTCCAGATACCAGATACCAGATACGAGATAATAGATCAAAGATGCCAAAGGATAAAAAAATGATTAGAGATAGGGATAAAGTATATATCGCTAGCATTGCATTAGCATACCAGCAACTGCGCTACAGGTGGTTTTATAATAAATACTGCAACGAACAATATTTAGCATAACGTTGGCATGCTAGAAACTGCGCTAGTCCAATGTATTATTGGTTGTGGACTATAACGATACCATGGGTGGAGTGGACCGAGTGGACCAGCACTTGGCTGACTATACTTTACCAAAAAAAGAGGTAAAAAATATTATGAAAAAATATTTTTCCACCTTTTGGATTTAGCCCTATGGAACTCTTTTATAATATATGTAAAAACGGGCGGAACAAAATCAGCACTTGTATACCGATTGGAGCTTATAAAGCAAATAATGGAAAAATATCATCAAACTGAGTTTAGTCCAAGAACAGGACGACCTTCAACCCAGCTCACTCCGCTTCGTCTGACAGGACGACATTTTCCAGATCTTATTCCAGCTACTGAGAAAAAGGCAAATCCAACCAGGCAATGTGGAATTTGCAGCAGGGCTCGAGATGAACGCGAAAAGAAGATTAGAAGAGGAACCAAATATTACTGTGCAGATTGCGAAACCCCCTTGTGTGTGACTCCATGCTTTAGGATTTACCACACAGTTGCAAATAGTTAGAACAATGTTTTTTTTTACTTACTTACATATAATTTTTAAGTTTTAGATGTGTTACCTTAGGTTTGTTCCTCAAATAAATATGTTTTTTTGTTGCCCGAGTTAACTCGGGTAAGCACATGTACAAAAATTCAGGGTTTTATTTAATTTTTAACTTTAGAAAATAAAATAACTTTCGATTTAGTTCAAAATAAGAAAATAAAAAAAATAGATTTTTTTTTGAAAAAAAACTAGATCGTTAAGCGGTTAACTAACTATTATGGATATTCAGATTCATGATTCCGCCACAATATGATCTGTATGAATATTTTGGTGAACAAATCATAATCAACTGTCTCTACCCACATTCCGCCGATACACGACGCGAATTCGTACCTAAAATCTCCCAGCGTTCGAGAAGCTTCATTCCATCCAGGGCCTTTGATTTCTTACCTTTCGTCTTTCACTCATACGCAATTGGTCTATTTAATGCTCAAGTTGATGATTCCATTATTACCAACGGCAGATAATGATATATCAATTTTCCTATTTTTAAATCTTCAGAACACAACGCTTAAAAATACGAAATATACACAATCCTTAAAGTGTTTTGAAGGGTGCTCCATGTAAAATTTCTCTAAGAATTCTAACGCTCAAAACTTTTATTGTTATTGTAACCTGTTTATCGCATGTCCTTTCGGTAAACATTACCGTGTATGTTTAGCTTTTGCTTAGAGTGATCTATCAGACGGCGGTAAAGGACATCAAAGAAATAAACCGGCAATAAATTATACTCGATAAAAGAGGGACGCACTACCTAAAGACAGGTCGCAGGACGACGTGTTTCTGCTCCCCTGATTACTCATTGCCGACGGTCGGTTTAATAACTGGTCAGTCAGATTCCCAAACAGAGTTTGAGAGATGAATTTTTCTATGGTAGGTCAAATATATTTGGTATTCAATAGACAAGCCAAAAATTGAAATGATTATGGAGTATATATATACTAAGTGACATATAAATCCGAACACCCAGTTTAAATGGTTTTATTTTAATAAAAGTTGGTGAATGTATTTATCTTACTGTAAATAACAAGTGAAAAAATTTTCAGCCTTATCAGTTGGACATTCCGGTTTTTATACTGCTTTTTTTTAATTCACTAACGCTCTAAAAATGAATATTTCAGCCGCAGTAAAGAATCAACGTTGGCGGATTTTGGTTCTTGGCATCCTTTACGATCGGTTACGATGCCTAGAGTACGGAGACCTGTACGATTTCGTCAACTTAGTGAGTTTGATAGGGGCCGTATAGTGGGACTTCAGGAAGCTGGTCTTTTCGGGCAATTGCAGTTAGAGTGCAAAGAAGTGTAGACACTGTGGTTAGGTGTTGTCAGGCATGGCTTCGAGAAGGCCGTACGCAAAGAGCAAGGGGCACTGGACGCCGCCGTAGAACAACAAACCGTGAAGATCGCCGCCTAAGATTATTGGCCTTAAGGGACCGTTTCTCCACTACCAGGTCCATTGCAAATGAATGGTTTGCAGAACACGGAAGACCTATTGGCATGCGAAGTGTTTACCGACGAATGAGAAGTTTTGGCTTGTTTTCATACCGGCCACACTGGGTCCTCCCTTTAACTCGAGAATACCGACGTAATCGCCTTGAGTGGTGCAGACAACGGTCACTCTGGGATCAGGAATGGAACAGTATTGTCTTTAGTGACGAGTCTCGATTTTGTTTAGGCATGCACGATGGTCGTGCCAGGGTTAGAAGGCGACGTAGTGAAAGGAGGAATCCACAGTTTTTTGTTGAAAGACATGTTCATCACACTGTTGGAGTTATGGTTTGGGGTGCTATAGCTTATGGTTCCAGGTCACCTTTAATCTTCATCAGAGGTAACATGAACGCGCAGCGTTATATCCACGAAGTTCTAGAACCCCATCTTTTACCCTATCTTGACACCCTGGTAGATCCAACTTTCCAACAAGATAATGCCCGACCACATGTTGCAAGAGTCACAATAGACTTCTTTCAACATAATGATGTCACATTGTTACCATGGGCACCAAGATCTCCCGACTTATCCCCAATTGAGCACGTGTGGGATATGATGGGTAGGAGATTGCTCAATTTGCAACGTCCTCCTCAGACTCTAGAAGCACTTCGAGAGGAGTTGGTGGTTGCCTGGAATGAGATACCACAGGAGGACATTGACCACCTGATCAGAAGCATGCCTAGGCGCGTTGGAGAATGCGTAGCACATCAGGGTGCATCCACACATTATTAAAGGTCAAAGGGCTTTAAAGCAGTGCAATCATTTTGAAATTTTTATCATTTACTTATTATGCTTCATTAAGTACTTATACAAAATTTTATTAAAATAAAACCATTTAAACTGGGTGTTCGGATTTATATGTCACTTAGTATATATATACATATATAGAGGTATATAAGTTATGTCCATGCTCACCCTGTACATTATATAAAATTATAATTTACTTAGTAGGCACTTGATTTCTCACGAGCAATGACGCGGCGCTCAAGAATGTTATCTCGCGCCTTGCTAGTTCTCATGTTAACATCGTTTTCTTTATCATATCATATTTCTTGTATACCATGCTAGATTCATATGTTAGGAAATCTCGTCACTTTTGGTTTGACCGTCTTGTTTTACGTACCTACGTGACAAGGTTTCTCTAGAAGTCACTCTGTACCGATTTTGGAAATAAAGTTTTTTTTTAAAAACATCAATCTCGGTATCAGTAATTTAACTGGGGGCTCAACCGGGATCCCTCAGCGTGTCGCGAAACGTGAAACGTGTTCCTTCGGCGTCCGAATTCGAGGCAATCGAGCAGATTATCGGCAAGCCGAAATCACCAGTTAAACGAAAAGGCACGCGAACTTTCAATGTTCTTGGAGGGATCCTAGCCAGTAATAAGCAACCGAGTGAAGGCACTGAAGACCATTAGCACTGGGCCACGGCCTGAAGTTCCAGAACTCCCAAAAAGTTAGCAGTAAGTCCGGCACTACTAGGAGGGTGTGCAGCAACTGTAGCAGTACAGCCAGTCTACTGTAGAAGCTAGTGGAGCCGAAACAGAGAAAAAGAAGAAGACAGAAAACCGCTCCTTTCATGGATTTTCAGTGTGTGATCTTGCTACTGACAACTCTATGGTCGCAGAGTCTACAGCTGAGGCTTCATCAAGTTCCAACTAATAATGGTTTCTATTCGGAACCAATAGGTGATGCGAAACTGATAAGCCATTATCATACGTTTATTCTCAGTCATAATCTCAGCTTAATAGCTGATGTTATTAATAAGGTAGAAGTTAGTTATAGAGCCTTAATAAACTATTCTGACGATACAAATCTTAAACCGGTACTAGAGGACTTGTATAAAAATATCATTAACGTAAAAGCAGAATATTCAAAATTATCGCCTTACCATTCATATAGTAGGAAACGTCGAGCTATTATTAACGGATTGGGAAGCATGATAAGGTATGTGACGGGTAACTTAGATCAGGACGATCTTACAGAAATCAACGATAAATTTATATCATTAAGAGACAAAGAGAACGAACTCATAGTGGCTATTAACAATCAAAAAGCATTCGCTCAGCTCATTTCACAAAAATTTGAGAGAAACATGAAACTCATTCAAAATAATGTACAATCGCTATCAGAAACTGTCAAGAAAGCAATTTATGAATACGAGTATGAAACTTTAATTTTTAGACTACTTATTTCTCTACGAGAAATCTCTGATTACCTCGGACTGATCCAAAGCACAATATCCCTATCACAGAAACATATGACCAATGTAGCTAATTTTAATGTTAAGGAACTGATTTATATTGAAGAATACCTCAAATCTGTTTATTCTAAGAAAAATTTGGTTCTCTTAGATGAAACTCATCCTTTCGAAGTACTCAGCCTGAGTAGAAGTAGTATTATTTATACAGATGAAATAATTTTATGCGCAGTCGAGTTACCTATCTTGGAATCTACCAAATATAAATTATCAAAGTTATATCCCTTGTTAAACAGTAACACCATGTTAGTACTATTCCAACATGAATATTTTTTGTATAACGATGTATCGATTAAAAGTTGTCCTAAGCAATGTAAAAGATCCATGAATCGATTTATTTGTGAAACTTCGACTAATCAAAAATGTACGCCTCGATCAATTGATCAATGTAGCATTGTACAGGCTAAAAACTTGTTAAGCTTAACATATTTGCTCGAGAGTGATGAGGCAGTATTATTTTCTAGCAACATCAGAATCACTGTTTTCGAAAAATGCGATGGCGAAATCAAGCCTTTTAATCTAATTGGTAATTATATTTTAAGTAATAACTGCACACTGGTTATAAATGATGTATCATATGTTCTTCATAGCACTGTTATTCCAACAGAGCCCTTGGATTTCAATATTTCTGACTTTACATTAAAGCCAACACACACGATAGATACTTTCCATATTACTAGTAACGATTTTTCTGATATCAAGGAAAATTTAGATAAAATGAAAGAGGTTGCACCAGTTAAGTTTAACAACTATCATTCTCATGTCAATAGTTCTCTTATAATAGGGATAGTCGTTACGATATTAATTATACTTGTATTAAAATCACGTTTGTGTAAAAGGCAAAAATTATCTCAAAGAAAATGAAGTTGAGTCTGATAAGAACGAGGACGTTCTAAGAGTTTAAGGAGGGAGGAGTTATGTCCATGCTCACCCTGTACATTATATAAAATTATAATTTACTTAGTAGGCACTTGATTTCTCACGAGCAATGACGCGGCGCTCAAGAATGTTATCTCGCGCCTTGCTAGTTCTCATGTTAACATCGTTTTCTTTATCATATCATATTTCTTGTATACCATGCTAGATTCATATGTTAGGAAATCTCGTCACTCTTGGTTTGACCGTCTTGTTTTACGTACCTACGTGACAAGGTTTCTCTAGAAGTCACTCTGTACCGATTTTGGAAATAAAGTTTTTTTTTAAAAACATCAATCTCGGTATCAGTAATTTAACTTATATATACCTATATTATATATCGAAGCAGTCTCTCAGGCAGAAGCCTAAATGCCAAAACACTGCGGCTGCTATGATGATCCCAAAGAAATTTTTGAACTGAAGGTTAGTAGAACTGGGAAAGGCTTCCTCTTGTAGATTGTTCCACAGTCTCAAAACTCTCGAGATAAAGGAGCGGTCGTACCGGCCAGTTCTGGATGTATGAAGTTCCACACGGTTAGGATGGGACGTTAAAGTTAGGCGGGTCTATCTGGCAGGCACATCGGGCGGCGGCATCATGGAAGAGAGCTCCGAGGAGCAAAGTCCGTTGGTGTAGCGGCAGAAAAGAACTACATCGCCGAAGGCCCGCCGGTGCATAGTGTATAGTATAAAATAATAAAAACAAACAGTCAATTCCATGCAATTAAAACAAAAATAATATCCTTTAAAATACAAACAAGTAATAAATCAATTTAGAATTCTCAAAAAAAAAACAGTTTCTGTATAAATCCATAAACAAAAGTAACAAATAAACAAACATATTGTGACATATTGTTATTCAAAATAGATTTCCTGTATACAGTGAAAATGTTTCTGTACTATACGAGTACACTGAAAAAAACCTCCGTCCTATTCCCCCAAGTTGGGATATCATTTTAAAGCGAAGTCTGACTAAGTTTTTCAGAAAGCTTTGTGAAAACAGTTTAGCTACAGTTTGCTTGCAGTGACAAAAAGCACAACAGGAAAATGAACAAAAAATCAGGCTGAATTTTTTTCTTAGGATGCGATTGGAGGTAATAATAGCCAGCCTTCTAAATGCTAAATCCACAAAACCTAAGAGTCAAATAGAAAAATACGACTTTTTTTTCTAGCTACTGTCAATCTCTTTGTGAGCCAAAACACAAAATACAGCTTTTGTCTTTGAGGTGCCGCGCCGCCGACTGCATAAGCGTACCCGCTGGTTGTTCCACTTCATGGTAATATTTTATGACTAAAAACATGATAGTTTCTTTGATTAATGCATTAATTTGTAAATTGAATCAAGAAGGACTTATTCATTTCTCATTTACTTCGTCGCCGCCGCTGGCTGGGTGTAATCCCATTGATATTAGAAAGAAGCGCGGAACTCTTTGAGCTAGGCCCACAGACCCCACGCCTCTGTTCCTATTCTGGTATGGGCACAGCGGCGTATTCATGGGAGGGCTTTGGGGCTCCTCGGAGTCTACCCTCTCAAAGCGCAACAGCTCATTACGCTTGTTCTACATATTATTATACATGTTATACCTTCTGTGAAGTGTAGCTACCTAGACTAAGCGAGTCCCCCCCCCCTCTGCTATGCAGTTTTATATCTCCAAGACACCCCTCCCCGCCCCGAGGTGGAATTTTCGTGTCACCCTGGATCTTGAGCCTCCCCCAGATCTTTTCCTGGATTACACCACTGGTTGAGCAATATCTCAATCTACAGGAAACAATTAATATCGCGAAATCGACCACAACAGTGGCTCCTACAAATCATTTTATGGGCACATTTCAAATTTCCGTCATCGGACTAAACAAGGAAGTCACAGATGAATAAAATTAACAAATCATAACTGATCATAATTGTTTGTATTAGCAATGGGAGGATTTCTGGAAAAGCAAAAATTCTATATATTTGGTTTCTGCCTAAAGGGGCTGAACCTACCAGTATGTCTACAAAGTAAGAAGCATGTAGACCAGAATGCAGTTTTGTATAGACTCAGAAAGTGGTTAAACTACATACTGGTGAAATACTTTTCAGAGCTAATGAAATTAGTTGCAAGAAGGATACATAGACAGCGCTATTTTCGTAAACTAAACGTTTTTCATATTGATATTTTAGATGAGAATGTTCAGTTTCCAAACGTAACTATGTTCGGCAGCCTAGCACTTACGGCATGTCTATTCAATACCAAACATCCAACCTACCATATCAGAATTAATCAAACAACCTGCTTCTCCCTGAATATTAAAATTTGAAGGAAATATTTTGCTTTTCACAAGCCTGGGGATATATTACAAATAAAGATGTAATCTGCTTTGAAAATCACACCATATTGGGAATTTAATTAAGCCTACACCTGATCAACAGCAATAGCCCACCGCCACTGGAGACAACCAAGCCACGCACCTCTATAGAATGCGGTACCTTTTATCTATAATTTATTGCTCGGACATTACCTTCCAGTATCAATCATGCTTTTTAGACGGTCTTCGGTGCTAATACAACGTTGCAATTCGGTATTTTTGGAGGCCAGAAGATGCAAGAGGTATGTGCAAGTTGGATGGCTCATCTTTGTACATTAATTTTATATCATTATAAAGGGAATTAAAAGGCCTTTAAAATAGGGTATCACTCGACCCCCCTTTCCATTTAAGATTTGGGGGGTGGTGCCATCCCCGCTTAGGGGGCTGCACGCGTTTTTTGACAAACTTGTGTCCCCCTCGAAAACAAAATCGACGTGTCTGAGCGTTTTTCAAAAAACAAAACTGAGCTGCCAGTAAATGCGTCTGTTTCATTTTCGATGCGCCACCTTGTATATCACATCATGGAATTCCTAAACGAATAGTATGTGATCCAGGTACGGAATTTAATAATTCACTTTTTAAAGAATTTTGTTCGTTACATGAAATAAAATGTTCACTTTACTACAAGCACCAACTCGAACTCCAATAGTCCAGTCGAGAGGTTTCATTCTACTCTTATAGAGAAAATAACATCTTATCTATCAAATAACTGCAAACATCTCTTGATCTCAGACTGCATTGATTTGTTACAACCAAAGTATCCATTCTACAACAGACTTTTCCCATCATCAGCTACTGTATAATACATTCGAACGAAAAGATATTCATGAGTTAGAACTAAGTAAGACTGAATATGAAGCATATAACCAGAAACGTATCAACGAACTTAAGGTCATTTATCACACTATTGCGGATAAAATGAAAGAAAAGGGTTCAAAATTTTTGGAAAAACGTAATGAAGGTTTACAAGACCAATTACCCAGTATTGGAGAAGGAATTTTTTGTCAAAACTGCAGGTAGAAAACAAAATTCGTGAAGAAATATACAAAATTAAAGTCGATAAATCAAAGGTTAAAAAGGTAATAGGCCAATTTGTAGGAGCCTAAGCAAAAACATATTATAAAAAAGGGCCACTGAAAAATGTTGAACGATTAAGAAAAGATTATTTACAGGATCGAGATCCACAACCTGGCACTAGCGGTCAAAACGCATCGAATTGATCCTCATAGTGGATATTTTAAGGAATCACTACATCCAGCGAGGGTAATAAGCCATTGCATTCGATATATTATTACCATAATCTAACGCACACGTTACAAAAATACTGCTTAGCTATAGATACTATAATAAAATTTCCACCCAAATAAAAAATGATATGTCTGGGCACGCCTTACTTTTAGATTTGGGACACACTATAAGCTCTATTGAAGAAGAATTACAAAATTCACCTCATCAGGAGGCGATCTAAACGTGGCTTGGTCAATGGTCTTGGCACAGTTATTAGATATATATATATCGGGAAATTTTGATCAAAATGATCTTACTACTATAAAAAATAATTTTCCTAAATTGTACGATACGCAAACTCAGATTATAGAGCAAGTAAATAATCAAATATCTTTTGCACATGTAATTTCAGCAAAATTGGAAAATAATATGAATATCATTGAAACGCGTTTATTAAATACACATGCCCGCAATCAGGAATTTTAAGGAAGATATATAATGGGTGATTTTTTTTGCTAGTATATTTTTGGCAACACCGTTTTTGACCGATGACGCGTGAATCGTGTCTTGTGTCATTGTCAAACCTGTTCAGTTTGGTCTATAATTAACCATGAATCGACTTATGAACGAACAACGCTTGCAAATTATTGAATTTTACTATCAAAATTCATGGTCGGTTAAGAGAGTGCATCGAGCACTGCTTCCAATTTATGGGCAATTTTGTCGGCCCTACTGAGGGAGCTATTTGGAACCTTGTGACTAAATTTCGAACCCAGTTTACATTATTGGACATTAAACCACCAACACGCAGACGTAGAGTGAGGACTGAAGAAAATATTGCGACTGTATCCGCCAGTGATGACCGTGAAATGTAGATTCGCCGCCGATTCGCAGCAATTGGGCTTCTGTTACTCCACTACATGGAAAATTTTGCGACAGGATTTGGGTGTAAAACCTTATAAGATACAGCTGGTGCAAGAATTGAAGCCACACGACCTCCCACAACGTTTCCATTTGGTGAATTGCGCGCTGGCAAAGTTGGAGGAAGATCCACATTTTTTATCGAAAAATTGTGTTCAGCGACGAAGCTCATTTCTGGTTGAATGGGTACGGTAACAAGCAAAATTGCCGCATCTGGAGTGAAGACCAGCCAGAAGCATTGCAAGAGCTACCTATGCATCCCGAAAAAATCACTGTTTGGTGTGGATTATGGGCCGGTGGCATCATCGGGCCGTACTTCTTCAAAGACGACAATGGCCGAACGTAACTGTGAATGGCGAGCGCTACCGTGCGATGATAACAAACTTTTTTTGCCCAAATGGAAGAGCTGGACTTGGCTGACATGTGGTTCAACAGGACGGTGCCACATGCCACACCGCACACGAAACAATGGCCTATTGAGAGGCGAGTTCGATGAACAGTTTATCTCACGTTTGGGGCCGTCAATTGGCCGCCAAGATCGTGTGATTTAACGCCGTTGGACTATTCTTGTGGGGCCATGTTAAGGCTAATGTCTACAGGGATAAACCAGCAACGATTGACGCACTGGAAGCCAATATTGAAGCATTTATTCGTGAGATATCGGCCGATATGTTGGAGAGAGTGTGCCAAAATTGGGACCTTGCGCATGGGCCATCTAAAGCGGAGCCGCGGCACATTTACATGAAATAATCTTTAAGCATTAATTATATCGACCGGTCTATCGACTCAAATAAAGATTTAATCATTTTTTCAAATTTTTTTGTGGTTTTTTTTTGTAAATTAAATCCTATACCTCTTAAAAAATCACCCGTTATAAACATATGGTCATTTCAACGATTTTATTTCTTGCAAGTCAGTTTATATAATTATATTCTAAGTCTTAAAGTATCATTAAACATTAGCCTTGCAAGGAATTCTAAATTTAAATACCTTTTCCCAGTGAAGAACTAGAATTGATACAATATCACCTTTCAAAAATATATACTTCAAAGGCTTTGATAAATGTTGGAGATGACCAGCCATTTCAAATATTACAACTGAGTAAGCTTCAACCGACCCTGCCTCTTTACCGAGTCGCAGCAGTTTAATCGGGCTCTTGAAAAAGTTTAATTTCGACCAGTAAAACATCGTAATTTTGTGCATAGTGACATATCCATACCATTAAGATAGTCAGCAGCCTACTGTGAGTAAGAATCCATCGAATTTTCATCGATTTTCTGCTGTTGAAGCAATACAGCAGTGCGTGCTAGCCGCAGTGCTGAGATTTCCTCCTGCGTTTGTGGAATTCACGTCGCACAAAAAGACTCCTTCGTCGTATTACAAAATACAGTACCGTAGTCAGATATGGTTGCAGCATATCTAAAGAAGCAATTGAACAAGAAAGATGTCTCGCCAAAATAATCCTACAACATCAACAAAGATCACCAATGCTCAATCTTATTCTACTGTACTAAATCAGCCAGTGACTTACAAGCATCCCAATAAAGATCAAGCCATCGTTTTCAATTTCATCGCGGTACTAGGATACAAGATTACCTCTTGGAGCTGGGCCCCATAGTAGATCCAAAAATATAATATTTAGTGGCGAAATTAAAACTCATACAAGTCTCCTTTATCAAATTTCTCGTTCCTTTGAATCTAAATATTACGCGATCTTCGATGACACTGTAAGCGCATCGCGGATGAAACGCGGTCTGATTAACGCTATAGGTACCATATGGAAAGCAATAACCGGCAACCTCGATTCATCGACGGTGATACTATAACGATGTATTAACAAAATTTCTAAAGATGAACATGAGCTCGAAAACCTCATGAAGAACCAAATTTTTGTTACCATGTCGGTTATCAAGAATTTTAATAACACTATTCAAAAACTTATGATGATGAAACTACGCTTAATGAAGATAATAAGGTTATTGAAAACAAAATTTATGAAATTTCAAGACGATCTTGCATTTTATGAAGCTAAATTCCAATTTTTAGAAGTTTGCGAACACATTAAATGGAAAGGTACATGTTTCTAGAAGAGACAATTAATGATATTCTAAATTCAATTACTTTTGCACGTTTAAAAATAATACAGCCTTCTATTACCACTCCTCAAGACTTAGTAAATTCTCTTCAAGAAATCTCTTACACTTTGTCGAGAAATAATTTACCCCCTTCCGGTTAATTTGGCAACATTGTCAGAGTACCCTTAATCTTATGGAGACTCGAAGCGTATCAACTAAAACAAGAGTAGTATTCGTCCTACGCAATCCGTTATTAGAGCCCGAAATGTATACTTTATACAGAGTGATTCCTCTACCCATTTCCGAATAAACGTACTGGTTTGTTTTCATGTAGTTTACACTATACAGAGATACATTGCTAAGATAGCGATTCTCTTTTGGTGCGTTTCCTTTCAAAATTTAAGTAGTATTGTAAAGTTCTTCAGTCTCAGGTGAAAATCTGTTCCAGCTTTACTTTTAGAAGTAATTTTTGCATCGCCCATGTACCGCATTTATGCTAACGATTTATTTTCAGAATCTGTATTTTCTGATTTTTACTTGTGCAATTTGTATTTTGCAATTTTACTATTTTTATATTTTTACACCTTTTTATATTTTTACAAATGTTTACAATTTTACACTTTACACTTTTACAATTTTTATAATTTTACAATTTTTACATTTTTCAATTTTTGTCAAAAGTTGTCGCATAGCAACAACTTTTGTGATAGGGGGGAGTTGTTATATGGCTATAGTAACTACGCAGTTATTATACAATGTTGCACCAGACGCTGTGTCAGCATATGATAAAAACTTCTCGCTAATCCGTTGCTAGAATAGTGCCTTTGCTGTTTTCCACTAATTCTTAGTCAGCTTTCCGAATGTATAAATAGGCCTCGCGGCCATATCCTGTTGTTCAATACCCGGCGCGACACCGTAATGTACGCTAACTGATAAGTTCAATACCCGGTTAGACTCCGTAAATGTCACAGTTGTAAACCTTTGTATTTTATATGGACTGAAGCTTCAGTCCTCAAATAAAATTTTTAAAAGTTATTTCTAAATCTAATGATTTAAGAAATTGGTGTCAGAGAAGTGGGATAGCTTCAACGCATTAGAACATGTGCATTACTAACTCTTGCGGTGGATGCCCATCCTTTAAGCTGAAAAGGACCAACGAGCCTTAAGAAGAAAGAAACCATTGAAGAAAAGAAACTTACAAGTAGGAAAACTACAAGAAAGAACATACAAAGCAACAAGAGAAGAAGGAAACAATCAGGGATCCACTAGCGAGCATGCGCCACCAAACTGCAGACCGACACTGAAAAATCGCAAGAGATACACTTAGCACGTCTGGAAAACACGAATTGCCTCCCGATGTACCCCTTGGAACGTACAATTTCAATCTACTATTTTTTTGAGATTTATCCTCGTGTGTTGTGTGATTGCTCCCATCTTTTTATTTGCATTTTTGCGCATTTACTCTATACAGGGTGACATCGAAAGTTGAGTCAATTTATTTTAACGTGAGTAGATCGATCAAAAGAAATGTTTTTTTCCTTTACCATTTTTCTGGTAAAAATTAAAGTAACAAAGTTATAGCCCTTTGGAAGTTTGAGTACCAGCCCATGTCTCAATAATAATATTATATGTTCGTGTTGGCGAAACGGATATAATCCGCCTGACCGGTTCATCGCATCGGAAACAAAAAAGCGAAAAGAATTGAACGTTTATCAACGATGTTTTTCGTCAGTCGATAACGCGTGTAAGTGAATAGTAGTGTTTGTTGCGTGGCTCAAACGAAATCAAAAATGGCACATGTTTAGAAAATGCTGAACTTGTGGACATGATTCTTATTTACACTACGGGGGGCAGTCTTTACAAAATGCTCCCGGATGCATCACGGATTTATGCGAATCGGTTTCCCAATCGAGTGCAACCAACCCCTCGTGCCTTTGTTAATGTAGTACAAAGGGCTCGTGAATCAGGTGACTTAAGACCTCACAGGTCAGGGCATGATGCTCCAAGACCACACGATCAAATACAGGTCCGCACTGAAATACTTGTCGGGACGATAATTTATTAAACAAGGTAACATTTTTTTT